TCTATGAAAGTCACCCTATTTATTGTTATGGGCGTATATATATATTTAAAGCATGAGGCAGTTTCTGTATATGTATTCATCAATGTAGTTATATATGATGATATCATGAAGTAATGAATAAGATAACGGTGAGCAATACTTTCCAGTGTATGAAAGAGTTCCCTACAGAATAAATGAAATAAATAGGATTTCTATTTAAAAAAGACTTTACTTCCTTACAAAGCAGGGGAAGGAGGATACAAAATTGTAAGCTGACAGTCCAAACCCATAAATAATAACCATAGTCATTTCGATTGGACAATATGTAAGCCACCTTTTAGTTCAAGGTCATTCAGTCGGCTGTTTACCTTGGTCATAAATTTTCCCAATATATAATCGTCGAGATATAGTGATTTACTGAATTCCACTTTAGAATATTGCGCACTTCAAGTTGTCATACTCGAAGTAGCACACAAAGGTAGGGAAAACAAAGAATTCAAAATAACTGTAACGAGTAGAAATATGTGGGAGAAGGATTAATTACGTGGAGAGACATGTCGACCTAATAGATTTGGAAGATAAACCATCATCCACAGCCTTAAGTCATTCGATTCTTAACATCCCGACGACTCCAACCAGGCAGTCTGCATCCTTGTAAACAAAACAGTCGAAAACTTCATGGATTCGTGTCAGGTTTCCCTCTAACCATCCCTAACTCTTTTTTAAATCTAATCCTGTGTCAGCTAACACTACTCATCAAGGTTGGTGGTGGTTCGACATAGATGATATGTGTGCCTGCCATCTCAATCTACGTATATTTACAACCTCACCGACTGACTTTCCCTCCTTACCTAACTCTCTACACCTAGCCTCAGTATTATGCAACAGATTATACCACTTAACACGGGAGATGAAAGTTAGCCTCTTCTGATCTTCCACTTTTAATAGCCATGTCTGACAACTATAAAGAAGAACGAAGTGAGCTGCTGAGCAGTACACACCTCCTTGGGTCAGTAGCAGCTACTCATGATATCCTATCGTCACGTCTTGTTATTTGGCGTGCACTTATAAGACAAATGTTTTTCAATCACTTTTGTTCATTTCTAAATCGTGTACACATATTCTGAGTTATTTGAGTAAGAGTGTATAGTATGTATGTTAACATACTCTCAAGAGTTTACCGTAAATTTCTGTCATTTTTCACCCCCTCCCGCAAACCATCCAGACATTGTTACCACAAATTTATGCATTCCTTGATCTAGGCATATATTTCAGTCGTGCAACTTCCATTTTCTGTGTAGACTATCAAAGCTGGTAAAAATAATTTCAAAATCAAAAGATTTGAGTAATTATAATTGTGCTTGACAAGCTGTATTAATACTGCCTACCTTGATGATAACCTTGGATGAGAATAATTATTTCTATAGTTTATCGTATTGTCATCAGTATATATATATATATATATATATATATATATATATATACAAGCAAACATGTATTCTATATGATCGCTTCATTGACCTGATTGATATCTGACCTTACAAGTTCATCATTAAAGTGCATAATATTATTATAATTACCCTATATTTGTCTCTATTCCATATTTTCTACTTACCTAATAATAAATATTCAATGGTAAATTTTCGATTATCATGTTTACTAATGGGGCCATGGTTGGCGAGGAGGTAGAAGGCTTTTTTCAGTCATTATTGTATTCACACAATTTACATTTAGAATATTGGTTTTTGTAGGGATTTGGACTAACTTCAAAGTGGATTTCATCTCGAATCTACATGATTTAGAGAGATCATTGTAAACCACGGGGAGCTGGACAGTTGTTTCATCCCAGGTTAGGACTCTTTAGCAGTGCACACCGGCGCTCTCATCGAGGATCCAACCCAAAACCTTCTGGTTGCAAGGTCAATCTCACTGACAGTTCAACTGCTTGGGTCAGAGTTCGGTCTCCGGTGGGATCGTGGTGGGACTCTGAGAAGAGTCGCAAACGAAGGCGAAACATTCGTCTAATGCTTCCTGGTTTTCGATTATGTCCAACTGATTTTGGCTCTTGACGAGATCTACATTGAAATAAATATATATTTAAAGTTATAAAACATGTTAAATGTAGCATAACGGAGTGTCTGACTTCGATATTAGGTTTATTTTTCCAGTGCTTCAGATACTGTTTTCTAATAGGCATGGATTCATGCAACAATATCTAGTACAAGATAGTGTAGACACTAAAACATGAAGTCACTAACCGTTAGTTCGAACCATGTAGGGAGGTGTATATTGTCTGGCTGCGGTGGTCATGACGCTAAGATTGAAGGGTTGGAAACTTTTGGTGATATGGCTCAGAATAGTTCTCATTGGTGCGAATGCGTTGTGATCCCACTGATTTGTTAACTTCTCATTATTCTCTGTTTAACTGTCTTTCTCTCTAAAACATCTCAGTTTGTTGAAGTTTCATAGGAATCTGTTTTTTCTGTGCTGCCGTTTGTGCTTTTATGAACTACTATTACACTTTTGTCCAACGCAGTACGTTGAAAAATTTAGACATTTCGGTTCACTATGGATTGATAAAGTTTTTGCATGATTTCAGTTGGTTGTCACAGTTTACATCATATACCAATCTAGCTGTTCACCTTGAAGATTGAGTATCTTCCATTCATATCGTTAACTTCTCACACATAAATCAACCACTACTGTTTATGCCCTCTGGAATAATCCTGTATATTTGGTCATTGTTCTGCTCAAATTGGTAAATATTTTAAAATGGAGTAAGTAATCACCCCTTTGAGGCGTAAGTAAATCCCTCGTGTTCTAGTGGTCCTGGCATTCACCCTGGCGCCTACCAAGGGTGAGGTCAGGGTCCGATTTCCAGCTGACACATTCCTAAACCTCACCTAGCCGGTAGTAAAACCGCGAAATGACGAAAGGTTAGGCCAATAACCCGCCCCCGTGAAAACAACACCATGGAGCTCTGTTCTACTCGGAACGCAAGGAATGGAGGAAAAAGGAGCCACAAGTAATGTTAGCCAAAGTTAAACTAGGTTGGAAAGAGGTTAAGAGTGATCAAACTAAAAAAGGTAGCATCATAGCATGAAATTACTAACTGTCTCTCCGAGTAAACCACTTAAGTTTATCTGGTTTACTTGCTTGCTTGAGGCAGTCTGGATGTTGAAAATCAGTAATTAGAGACTTTTAATGGGATAATTCAAAACTGTTAACAGTGCCACGTGGAAATTCTCTGTTTATCATCTCAGACATTCTGAATAGGTTCCCTATGCCTCATTGAACTTATGTCTTTTTCACACGTTTGTTTGTGTGTGTGTGTGTGGGTAATAAAACTTTTGTTGCCTGCGTAATTTGTTGTAGTGTTATAACTTTAAAAGTTCTTTGACTGAAAAGTCAGTTCATGATCAAACTTGAAGTTAATCGTCCTAGTGCGGGACTCTTCATCAGTAACTCACGCATGATCCCACCGGGGGTCGAACCTACGACTTTGTTAACCATTCAACCACTGAGACGGATTTCAACATGAGCTTCTGCAAACTTAGGATAACAATGATTTTGATTCCTTAATCAATTAATTTGTTGTGATTTACGGTATTTAATATGCATCCTTACTAAGATAAATAACCAATTTAGTTCTTCCCTTGTTTTTGCCCAGTTTTTGTTTATTTTTATTGATTGAATTCAATAATATGTTACAATGTTTAAGAAGATTATATTTCTAAATGAAATGGGTTGTAAATTGAGATATTTTTATGTGTTAATTCTCAGAGATTTGAAGGATTTCAACTCAAGTCACGAACAGATGTCTGTTAAGGAGCCACTGATAACTAAGGAGTATTAGATAACTGTACCTTCGATTGGCAGGAGTTAGAATTCATGGGTCATTGGATTTGCATCACAGTGGCTGGGATAATCAACGGGCTCAATCCGCGGTGGGGTCATTGGTGCCCCCTAACTGCTAAAACAAAACTGCTGTCTAGTACTCCCTGGTTTTCACTATTTGTCTAATTGATATCAGATCGTGATCTCACGTGAAATCGGATCAAACTTTTCAGATCAGTGGATCTCAACTTGGCATACGAGATATATATGGATAAGCTATTAGAAATGAACAGCGATTTTAAAATAATAGAGAATATTTGTAGCCTAGGTAGATATTTCTGGTGGAGTTTCGTTCTGTGAATTGTTGACAGTTTAACTGGGAAACTTTCGTTGTCCCTCTGAATGGTGTATTCAACGCTTTTGGGATTCTGTATAAATAAAAATAACAGAACAGTATCAATATAGATGAATACCACGCCAGCATTTCAATATTCATAGACTTATAAGTGTAAAGCCTTGAAAACAAGTTACTGAAAACAATTGTGCTCTCTTAAATTATTCTTCTTCAGAACACATAAATTACCAAAATCTGTTGACACAATTAATCACACTCGTCAAGAAGGATAGCCATTTCATTTATGCAGGCGTCGATGGCACAGCGGTTAGGACGCTCGCCAACTATCCACACGGTCCGGGGTTCGATTCCCGGCCGGCGCACTCCTTTACCTCGCTAAGCCAATAGTGAGACTAGTAAAGAGGAAATGTTGGGCATGAGGCTAGCAGCTCCACCCCATAAAAATAAACACCACTGCTACAGAAACCTCAAGTCTCTAGCTTGGAGCCTTATGTTTCACTGGGACGTGAAGGATAAAAAAATAATTCCAGAGATTCCTTAATTTTACCCATTAGCCTTGAAAGTATGTTGTCTAGAAAGAAAGCGTAAGGCTTGCTCAGTTAGACTGTCCAACTCTAAGAGCATAAGTACCTCGGAAATGGAAGTTCAGAGGCCGTATTCTTTCCAGTGCATTCATGGATACCTCACTGATATATACTGGATATCATTAGTAGAGAAACACACCCAGGAGTTTTTTTTTCAGAAAAAAGCCAACTGACTGACATTAGTTGTTTTGATTGAAGAATTAATAAAATGTTTGCTTTGTATTGTCCACATTCAAAACTCTTAGATTGTTGGTGGTCGTACATCGCCTGTATTGAATGGAAAATCGCATGTTACAAATGCTGCATACAAATTACCAAATGTTGAACGTGAGTATATATAAGTGTCATTTTTGCTTTTTACTGACCTAATATTCTTTTTTCTGAATTTATTTTATTCTTTATTCTTTTTTTAAGACAAAATTTCAAGTGTCACAGACAAACTTGGTACACAAATTCCCCTTTTTAGTGAGTTTGAAAGAAAGTAATATAACTACAAAAACACATGGAGTAGGATAAAAACGGTTTGATTGTTTATTTTTTTGTCGGTATCTTGTCAACTAAATGCGATATTTTAGTTCTTATTAGATAGTCGGAGGTGCAATCAACAGGAAGCCTTAAACCTAGATCTTGTGTTTGTTGGCATTCAGCGGTCAGCAGTTTCGAAGGAATTCATGTCCTTTCGGAGGTCGATCACCAACATGAATAACTCATTGATAACGTCTCGGACTGCAACACTGGTTGACTTGGGTTGGAATCTCAGATGGGACATGAGTTCTTTCGAGACTGCAGATATGCCTTGCTGACACTAGCGAGTGCCAACAATCATGAAATCTAGGTGAAGCAAGGCTTCCTGTCGATTACCTCCAACCATCTAATAACAACAGTTCAGAGTGCACCGTGATGGCGTGCCACCTAGTTTTCTAGTCACATTACAATCTTGACTGATAGAATTCAGCACCAAGGACTAGATGCACGGCAATAGTTACTTACTGCCTTGTATTCAATCAAAGTATGCCTTAGTTTCATGGAGATAAAGTGTGGAATAGTAGTTGGGAATGATCATGGTAGGTATATAGATGAATCAAAGTGTTAAGTTAGTAAAGCATAAAGTACTACTGTACTTACATGTGTAGTGTGATCAAGGTTTGTTGAATGAAATAGAAAGTGTGGAGTAAAGATAGCAGCAAAATATTGAGGTGCATAAATTTTGAGATTACCCAAGTCACTAGAAAATTGTTGATACGTAAACAAGAAGCATCTTTATATACGACTGCAATTCAAGGGCGATATACCAAGTGAAATAATTACAAAAAAATTAAGAAAATCTGTTCAAAGAACTTTTAATGCTGGCGAACTACACGTCTTATTCTCCTTACACGACCGATGATGATTCCTCGACTGAAAGATGACATACCTAGACTAGCCACTTCAAATTGTATCTACCATTTCAACGGCTGGGGCGAGTCATATTGGCCGTTGCTCTAGGAACTTGATTTTTCGTGTTCGAGAACACCTCCCAGCGTGGCTAAGTAAAGGTGTGAAAACCACCAACAGTTCGATATTAGACCATCTGGTCCGAACCAACCACAAAGCCAGCGTTGAAGAATCCTTCTCTATCATCTACCGGGTACCGACTAAATAAATTGCCATTCGTGTGAAACAACCAGTGCTCTGTGTACAAAAGAAGCAAGTCCAGCCACTACTACTGCTCTGGTTAGCCTTCAGTAGAGAAGAAGGAGTTATCGAAAAGAGTATTCCTTGTTCAGCATCCATTCTTTTGAAAATTTTAATGAGCATTTTTAATCAGTTAACATGAAGAAATGTTGTAATTTCACCTCAATTGGTGTAGATATCAGGAGTATGAAATATGACGCTTATTAAATGATGAAGTAACTAAGATTGAAAAGAAGTCAACATTTAGATATGATAGAGAAGATTTGTAGCTCAGGTGGATAATTTTGATGTGGTTTTGTTCTCTGACTGGATAGTTAGTTTGCAAACTAACTATCCAGCTCAGAGAACAAAACCACATCAAAAAAAAAAGTCAACATTTACATTAAAATAAGAGTTGTTGTAATCAACTGAAGTCAGCGGATGAGTTATCAGGATAGAGAAAGATTTAATACATCTTTTGAGCTCATAAGTAAGGTTTTAATTGTTTGATAGAAGTGAACTCTACGAACTCATTATCTTGTTACTACTACCCTTCTTCCCAACATTTTTATTTTATTCAATGAACGTCGATCACATCTTGTATATAAGTGCAGGAGTAATATTTTATATTTTATTAATTTAACATTTCGATTCACCTGTATAACTACGATCAGTCTTAATTATTGTCCCATACTTTATCTCCCTGTTATTCACTGGCTGCAGGAAGAAGTTGTCTGGAGTTCTGTTGAGAAATCGTGTCGAGTAGGGTCCAACCTGTCGGGAATGAGGACAAATACTCACTGATGACATTGACTGGTGGTAGTCATGCTGAAATCATGAATTGATAAGAGATGGAATTCATGGACTGGCCATTGAGTTGGGTGCCAGTGGCTAAATCGTCTACAAGTTTGCCATGCAGCCAGGAGGTCCTAGGTTCGAACCCTAGCAGTAGGTGAGGACTGCCGATGAGTCCCAAACTAGCTCGAAAGAGCCGTTCAGTACTCCCTGGTTGTTTACAATGATTCTCTAACTGATATCATTCTGTGATCAACCTTGGAACTTAAGTATGATAAAATTGTTGTATAGAAACTATTTTATACTTCATTATTTAAGTTGTCTGTAACTGACAAGCTATCGACAAAATAAACAATGCATCCGTTTTAACTATTGTCACTAGCTGACATCAGTAATAGAACCACATTGAGAAACCAGAACCCTTTTAATCCTGCACCATGTGTCGTTATTGCTTTGTTGAAATTCACAGACAAATAATAGATTTAATGTTATTACTTGTCAGTATATCGATAGAACAGATTTCTATTTGAAATGATCAGTGAGTAAGTCTTCACTGAGATGGAATGCCGTATAGGCGATGGTAATCTCTCGATTGTTAGAAAATCAAAATCAGTATAACTAGTGATCAAATCATTAAAGTGTTGTTAATATCACGCGATACATCTTCTCTGATTTTTGTAGATATTTTATTGTGCTGACTATCAAGAAGAAAATTGAGATTTTTGAACGATTTCCCATTAAACATTCAGAACATGAAAGATTTAGGCGAGAACAATTGTTTTCAATAACCTAGACTTTATTAAACTCATTAATCCATACAGATTATTGTATAATAATAGCTTTATTCTGAACAATGTTTATATGCATATAATGTACAGAAGTTCCAGAGGAAATTATTCCATAAAAGTTTCTTTCTGTCCAGCATCTTCAAGTAAGTCCAAGTGGCATAATGGTATATGAGCTCGCCTTGTAACCAGAATGTCCTGGGTTCGAACCCCATTGGTGTGTACTGATGAGGAGTCCCGAACTATGACGAAACAGCTGTCCAGTACTCCCAGGTTTTTGTGGACCGAGTGGTCTAGTGGATAACTTTGCACTAGATAAATGTCGTTTGCGTCGGTGGCACAGCGGTTAGGACGCTCGTCGACCATGCACAGCGTCCGTGGTTCGGTCCCCGGCAGACGTACTCCTTTACCTCGCTAAGCTAGAAATAATGCTGGTAAATAGGGAAGGCTGGGCATGAGGCTAGCAACCCCATCTGTTAGAATAAACACCACTGCTACAGAAACTCCAAGCCACTAGCTTGAAGCCCTATGTTCCACTGGGAAAGTGAAGGAAAAAAATCTTCAAGTGAAATAATAATTGATAAAGTAGAGATTATATGAGAAATTACTGTCTGACCTGAAGCGACAACCAATCCCTCACAATATTTCTTCTTTGTCCCCTTTGAGTAGAGCATAACATCTGGTTGAAGGTGTACGAGTACATTTCGCAACCCAGGGACATACTATAATAAGTGAATAATTGAAGACTACCGTGTTTTTTTTGTTCCTGGACGTCCCCAGTGGAACATAGGGCTTCAAGCTAGAAGCCCGAGGTTTCGGTAGCAGTGGTATTTATTCTTACGATATGAGGTTGCTAGCCTCATGCCCAACCTTCCTTCTTTATCACTCTTATTACTGGCTTAGCAAGGCAAAGGAGTGCGTCGGCCGGGGATCGAACTCTGAACCTCAGGCGTGGTCGGTGAGCATTCTACCCCTGTGCTACCGACGCAAAAAAGACTACAAGTAGTTAGATTTATTTCTCAGGCAGAAGTAGTTTATGCTAAGAATGTCAGGAACTGTTATCTGCTGTATTGGGATACGTTGCCACCCACAATTTTGCTTTCTCTCAAGTTTAGTAGAAACCTGCAAATCAGCAAATTTCGACACTTTAAATACTCGCGGGAGTAGAAAGCGTCATTAGAGGTTATATTTTAACAGATTAAAACAAACCGAATGAGAGTAATTATATGGAATATAATAATGGAGGATTTTTTTGGTAGCTTGTTTTAAACAGGCCGATAGTGTGGAGGCAGTATTATACTTTTATTCGAAACTATCGCCTTCTAATTCTATCCACCATATTGTTATGTTTAACGTGATTATAATTTTACCTCTTAATATTTATAGATTTATAAGTGTAGAGTCTAACAAAAAAGGATATCGAAAACAGTTTTTTTGTTTTGCTAAAAACATTTTTATTTTGAAAGTTGAGATTGTTATGACAGTCAAATAGGGTGGGATGAGATGGGATAAGAAGGAAGATACTAGTTCTCAATTTAGATGAATGGATTATCTTGACTAAAAGTGTGCTAACCAATCAAGTTAAGGGTAATATTTGATTGCTTCTTAAATAAGCAGATAAGTGAGCGTGTTCAGTTGTAACGGTGGAAGACGAAAGACTTGGTAAAGGAATGTTTCTTTTCGGAATTTGGTTTCTCTATCTAACGAAATTATGTACACCTTATCTTCAACGCACCATTTGCACAGGTCTTCCTCGTTGTACTACTTCTGGCCTCCCTTTCACGTCTCCCATGTACCTCCGGAACGATGTATCAGTAGCACACACTACACATTGAGTACAACTTCCAGATATACAACTATACGAATTTCACGTAGTTTTCCTTGAAAAGTGCATTCTTTCGGGTAATTCGCCCCTGCTTGACTGTCATTTTAGACTGCTTCAATATATTTCAGTCTCATAGAGTTACTTTTAGGACGAAAAGAAGAGTGTTATGAGTCAGTATTCCCTATGAGATCCGCAAATCAGATATTGATGCCTGACCTAGATTAGAAGGTCACATCACAGAATTTTTACTAATACATACTATCCAGTTA